TGCCCACTGTACCTCCATACCAAATTTCAGGACCTTAGGCCCTAAAATGAAGAAGCTGAATCCATTTAAAAAATGGCAGGAGGAGAAGAAGAAGAAACATCAGAAAAAGCAATATGGGTTCACCACCACTTCGTGGTGTGGTGAACCCATAATAATCATTGAAAATGAAGGTGTAAATGAATAAAGACATCCAATGCAATTTCAGGGCGGAAAAATTAGAGATATAATTTTCTGAATAAGGCAATCTGTATGATATTGACACATACTATCCCACATTAGCACATATGAGTCAGTATTTCATACTGTAGGCATTTCAAACTGCAGAAACAAGCCCCAACATTAGTCCTTAATTTTCTGGGTGGTACCCTAAAAATCAATCCAGGTCCTTCCAGTGACCAATTTCTGTCAGAATTTGGGGCATTTTTGCTCCATGAAATACAAAATCGGGACAGTATTGTTACAACTGTGTGTTAGATGAGTGACTATAATGAATGACTTTGACTGGTTTCCAAGCCCTAAAAACCCGCAACTTTTTCAATGCCTTTAAGAGGCAGTAAGGCAATCAAAATTTTTAATAGGATTCATCTTCTATCTAATCTAAGGATATTATGGGGCGCAGTACTGCCAAGGTGAAAAATGCCTTTCTTAGATACCTACGTAATAATACATAACACAAAAAGGCATGTACATTTAATGATTTCCACCCTGTTTCCCCCTAAGGAATACAAGAAGGTCATCGTCATTTCTGGCACTCTGCAAATTTATGAGGCGTCTGAGACAAATGAATAATTCAAAACAGGTACTCATGGAAAGACACAAAATTAGGGAGACCTAAATGCATGAAAATAGTGCGTGCGTGAAAGTCTTGGTACAGTTTGTTTGAGTCAGAATGTAGAAACAATGACACTAGCAGCAGCTGTTGTCAGTAGATAGGCACTGGCAAGACTGTTGTGCTTTTTGCTCAAAGGATTGACCTTTACTGTTCTGGACACACATAGACTAAATGTGCTTCCTCTTAAACTAAACAATGAAAGGGCAAAAGATATCTGGAAAAAACGGTTGGCAAATGGTTCCTGTGAGAGCTAGAATGCAATGACGGTACCCTACCTAACAAGTTTTGCCTAAGAAACACCTTTTTGCTTGTGACAGACTTTGAATTTTTTTTAAATCAAGGAAAATGACTTTTTCTTATCGACTTTTCTAGTTTACCATTGTTGTAGTTTGAAGCATTTTCTGTACAGTCAGAATACAACATTGTTTCTAGAACTCCCCCTTCTAGTTTCTACCCATGTAACTGCCTTTTCTGAGTGACAACAGTCCCTTCAATCTAATTGTGACTACACAAAATGTACATTCTGTCGGTATGAATAATTTAGCTGGGCTCAAAATGCCCTGTCCTTGGTGCTGAAATCAGGTGTCTATAATTTCAGACACCCTTCTATGTCCTAGAGACTTTCAAGCAATCAATCTATTTCAATCTATGATACATCCTTTACAAAGATGTATAACTGACCCAGAGGTTAAATGCTTTATGGGTATCAGAAGCTCTTTGTCTCAGCCAGCTTGTGCCAAACTTAGGGCCACAGCAAGTAATTTTTATGGATGACATCAGTGCGCGCATTAATTTTTGCCTGATTTGGGAAAAAAAAAAGAAATTTTGTTGCCTTCTGACAGTTGTCGATATGCCAAAAATGAGCAAAGATGTCTGTTGCCATGCCGGAAGGTGGATGGCAGATAAATATAAAGAGAGGAGACAAGAAAAGGCTCTGATTTAATGTTTTGTTTCTTACTTTGATGCAGTGACATGTGATGCTGGCTGTGTATATGTGATGTTCCCACTGAATCAAAACCATTTGTACAATGATTTAGTCAAAATTTTAAATCGTAGGAACCTTGTTTTTTTTCGGCCTGCCTTGTTTTTTTTTGCCCGATTGCATTAGATTTGGGGTCTGCGGAGGATGTCATCCATAAAACTTACTTGCTTTGGCCTACAGTTGACGGTGCATTTACAAGACAGTCTAAGAATGATCAATGTCCTCTTTTATTTATTCGTACATATTCATGAATATAGGAAGATACTTGTGATAGAAAGTTCAAGATCAATGCAATTGGCATAGTGAAACAATGACAGGACACAGGTGCAATCTTAGTAACACTGAAAAGTTATTTGATGGTTACAGAAAGTAGTCATTGGTCAGAATTAAGTATACTCTGACCACCAGACTAACACTGTTGGCTGAAAAATAATAAAGTTTAGCAGAATAGGAAAATTAATTGGAGAGGGAAGTCTGGCTACCATAGAGTTAATTTTCCAGCGCAGTTAACTCCCTTGGCCAAGTATTACCTTCGTCAGAAGGTTATGTGTGTAGGTACACCATATATAGGGGTTGGTGATTTTGCAATTGGTTATAAGATAGGGTGTGGACTGTGGAGCATGTATCTTTATGGTATTTGGTAGGTAGGATGAGGTTGGAAAAAGGAAGGTCAAGGTCAATTTTGGGTACTCTAGCAGGTTTGAAAGGTATAATTCGGGACTGGTTTGAAAGGTATAATTTGAATGGTATAATTCGGGACTGAAACGGGAAACACAACATTTTTTTTCGTAGGCCTTACAAAGGCATGGTAAAGGCTACAACATGTAATAATAAAATGATATGTTAGTGCATGCCTAAAGGTTTGTCAGGGGACCAACCAAGATTGTTTGCGATTAAAGGATTAGATGTGAACATCAGGTATTAAAAATGAAACGCCTTGACATTGTTATAACATGCATAATTCATTCAACCGGATTTGCAAAACATTACATCATGCTGATATTGAAAACCAAATGTGGAATGTAGCTTATATACCCTTGTGTAAAAGAAAGTATACTATTACTGTCAACGGCTTAAATAGACAACAAAGCACGTCTTCTTGGAAATTTCAATATACTCACACACCTGCATAGGCTTGTACCGGTATACTTGTATGACAGACATACAGTTCCCTAAGGGCATATCTTTGGCATGACATACGATCATAGCAACCATTGCTACGTGTATATCAAGTAGGCGTGTTACATGTTTGTCAAAAGCCAAAAATGCTAGATTAAAAATGTAGTACGCTATTTTTCGTATCCTGATCAAGTCTACCTTCTCTAACCTTGTCCTGTGGAGTACAACAATTGTTGTTCTGCACATACAGTACCATCTATATGGCACCCTGTATAGGTACGATTTGGGAATATTTCTCTTGCAACGCATCACACTGAAACACAACAATTGCAGAAGTAACTATGCCACTGCAGGGCAAAAAAATTTGGGGGTCTATGATCTAATTAAGACATGAAATTATTGAAAAATATTGTGCCAGGAATGCCAGCAGGACAAGGATTAAAACACCCTGATTTGCAGCAAGAATCTCATGCCCTTAATACATAGTAGGAATACCATAGAATATTAAAGGTGAAAGAAACAGCCCACCAAAGTTTTAAAATATGTTAATAAAAAACACAGTCTACCACTATTAGGTGATTATGAATATGATTTATGAAATTCAGTTTGAATTATGATTTTGCATCTTAGTTAAAATGTACATTTTGTTTGTAAAGATCAGGTACATGTATCTGTGAGGTTTGAAATATACAATCCCTACATCCCACTTCATTGCTCAGCTATAGCTTCTGATTTTCTAGCTTGTTAAAGCCATGCTTTTGCCTTCCATTTTCTGCTATTTAGGCCATAAACCTAATCTGGGTTTAGGCTCATTTCATGCTTCAGGGCTTTTGTGTTAACTTCTGGAGGCCCCAGGTGGCAACCGCATGTTTTTCATTTGCTTTCACGCGATGGCGTAACCAACCGCCCTCTTTCGCAACCGCCTTTTTTCCTGGAAATACGTAATATCGACGGAAAAATAGCAATGCATTATAGACCTCTGTTCAGATATTTCTACATGCTGACATTTTATCAGAGCTCATTGTTTTATGCTGAAAGGGGTCCAGAAATTCTATGTAACCCTCATGCCCGAGCCTCTTCCATCACTTTACATGTACGTTGTCCGCTATATCTTCCCTATTTCAGACTTCTCTCACAATCACATACCCTTGATGAAATCTCATGGTCACCCCCGTAAAGTTCATTGAAGTGGAATAATCAGGTGTGTAATCTTTAGGTTTGATGACTAATGGGGTCTGGCTATACCATTTTTACTTCTCTAGAGGGGGGATAAAAGACGTGAGTCTACATCTTTGTACATGAAGAACTAGTGATCTGTAACAGTCTTAAAAGTGATATGTGTATAGCCATTAATTCAACATGGTTGATAAAAGTATCCACTTTATATGGAAATTTCTCGGATTCTCTCATAACAGCAATCCTTTCCCTAAGCCCCATCAAGTACTGCAGAGAAATCCCTTTATCATCTTAACACTGCTTCTGTAAACCCTTTGATAGATGGCCATCCTAAATTCCAATGATGTGGGGATAACTGATCATATTTTGTACCAACCTTGAAAAAGTAAGGGCTGCTATCCTGGCTAAGGTAAAGGTTAAAATCACAGCCTGCTCATTTAAGCTGTGTATACGTACTAAATGAAGGTATATTAGATGGTTCACAGTTTGGTTCTTGCACCCCTAAATATATGGCATTTCTATCTTGTACAGATCTAGATATGGTACTCATAATCTTTGGTATACTGTATGTAAGGGCACTTTGCACTGGATACTGATAGGTATAAAAGTCTTCTTCGAAATCTTTTTACAGTGACAGTTTCTTTCCCCGTACGGCCAAGCTTTGGAATTCCCTCCTTGACAAGTGTTTCTCACCAACCTACAATCTACAGGATTTCAAATCAAACGTTCACCGCCATCTCTTGACATAGCCATGTTTCTCTCATATTTCTAGTTCAATGCCGAGAAGTGGTCGTATAGGCCTTGCATTGAACCACTCTGTTAAAAAATATATATATTATATATATATACTTTGGTATACCGTACATAAAAGCACCATATCTCTTGGCTCACCCGAAAGTCGATCCCGACTGTAGAAATAAAGGATCCGGAGAGGAAAGCTCCATCCTTGAAGCGAACCAGCACGCAAGTCTTCCCGACTCCCGAGTCACCAATCAGCATCACCTACACGAGTTATCAACACAGTTTTCAGGCAGAACCAGGAAAGCTGTTTCAAATGCACACATTACTAACACCAAATTAATCATATCAAGGTCTTACGTATAGAGCTCCTTTTAATTTTAGGCCTAGGAAAAAAAATAGTCTTGTGTTTCCTGTTTCAATCCCGAAAAAATTAGGGTTGGTAGGTAGGGATTATCTTTTTTTTTTCTTTGGCGACCTCTATTTAGTGATTGAACAATAAAGTTAAACAAACTATTAAAACCTTCACCAATGTATCAATGTTAGAAAACCGATTGTACAATGTTTCATGACTCAAGTGGAGCTAGAAAAGGTGGATCAGCTCGAAAAATTTATGTCCCTTAAGCTTGCAGGAGTTCAAACAACATTAAGGCTAGGGTCGGCAGCTTTTTCTAGGGTCAGTCGGGAAACAGGAAGCACAACTTTTTTTCCTAGGCCTTCAGAACAATTTCTGATTTACACCCTAAAAATTATTTATTTTACACGAGTTCATCTGCCTTGATGATAATTATGTTAGAAAGCTGTTTAAGAGATGAAAAGAAGACTAATAATTTGGTGGCGGTTCAGTAATACATTTTTCATAAATCAATATTTTTCCCACGATGTTATCATAACATTTCACATGATGTCTCACTATCTGCCTTCTTAATAAAATTTGATCCCACTTAAATGATAAAAATATTGATTGGGATTGTATTACTGATAATATTTATGGATGAAAATTTTACTATCAAGGGATTTTTTTACTCTGAAGTATTAGCATGACAATAGCTGGATATGGTTATCATTGTGAGGTAAATAATAATGATTATCAAACGCAAGCTGCTGCACTACACAGTATTGCAGAATAGAGGGATCAATAAAAGGAAGCACAATTTTTTATTTGGAATCACAATGTCTTTTAAGCAACAAGATACAGCACCAGAAAGGTTGGATCATTCATAAGTTTGTATCAATGTTTTGATCAGGTTTATTTGTAAAGCCTATGTTTGATTTTAATTTTGCAATGTCCAAATGTCTGTTTTATATAAATATGTAAAAACCATGGCTGTAAAGAAGTTGAAAATACAAAATCCGAGAATAACATAAAAAAGCAGGCTAGGGGTTCAATGGCGTTTTTGTGTTATTATGTTTACTGCTGACTTTGTATTATAATATAATATACCTAGTAATTTTGCATGTATTTTTCGAATTGCATGTAAAATGTTTGCCAACATAAAATTTTGTATGCCATGGGTTTTAAGATCCGGACTTTTGTATATTTGCCATTTGCTAATTTTGACATTATGCAATATTGCAGAACACTGAAAAAAAAGTATTTCTAGAACTGTGAGACAGAACAACATGATCGGTCGGATCAAACGGAATGGTCTGGTCACCATGGGTACTTATCCGGGAGCCAGTCACGCGGCACGGCACATTGCGATTTACCGCCTGTAGAGTGGCTTGATTGCGGAAAGCGTCAACACGACTGGATTGTTTTTCATTACAAAGGTTCGACCTACGGAGACCAAACGTCGTTAGCCGAAGGTCCGTGTCATGACATATGACAACAACTTTGAATCTTTGATCTGAGGTTCTGTCAACATCCGCTCACGCAAAATTAACTTTTGAAGTGAAGCAAAACAGCCAAAAGGGTTGTGTGTTTTTTTCATTAATTCCAACTACCACTCAACTTGAGGAAAAATAGTTTGTTTTTTCGATTAGATGTACGTGACTGAAATTTTAAACTGGGTAATGCTAAATATGATACGTGTGGCAAATCCCTGAGGTAAATTGTCGTCTGAAACAGGTTGACGGACCACGATGGTCAAATCAGGACCCAAAAGTCCCACTCTGCTGCTATGGTGATCGAACTCGAACCCGAACCCGAACCCGCGTTCGATCCGCGGTCACCCCCGGTCAGCCCTGGTTACCAGGGTGACCCAGCACCGCCACGCCCTTTTTTCCCTGTATGCTTTGCGAATTTCAAAATGGCCAACTTCTACCGCAGTCGTTTGAATGCAACCACCCAGACGGACTGCAGTCTTTTCGGCGCAGGAAACATGCGGATCAGACACGGATCTTCAGAGAGAGAGCCCTGCAATGCCCACAACTTCTGGGCACTGGCACAGGCAGCAGTGCAGCACCACGTCGACCCCATCTGGCGGGGAATGCTGGCGGTTACCCACCCCACTCAGTTGCCTGACCTTGGAATGGGGGTGGGCACCGCCAGCATGAGCGCGGACATCGAGGCCGCCGTGGGCTTCAACCTTACCCTGGTCGGGCCACTTGCAGACCACTACGTCCAGCAGCTGCCAGGGTATGTCCCGGCGGCTTCGTCCGCGCTTCCACACGGGACCAGCCGTGTTCAGCGTCAACGTACCCCCTACCCTGTGGAGACACCTGGAGGCGCTGCTCACAGGGTATGGGGGTACTGCGACACGGCAGTACTGCGTCAGCAGAGCCGGAGTGCGGAGTGTGACGGTGACCGTCACGGACATCACCACAGCACAGCAGATCTGGTCTCCTGCCCGGAGGGACGGCACTAACTTCCTATGCCGCCGCCACTTTGGACGGGAAAGGCACATCGGGCAGGATGGCCAGGTAATAATTCATTCGAGTTATTACGACACTTTCAGGCCTTAAGTTACTTTTTGTCTGGCCGAGGGTCGAATTGTTTTAGTATAATTTTGCTTGGATTTATATCTAAAAATGTTATAAATCTCATCAGACTTACAATGTATTATTATCAGCTATTTTATGGTTAAAATATGAAGAAAAGGGAGCCTTTCTGCTGCTAACCTTTTCATTCTTCTGAAATATTACTGCTTCTTCATACCCAGTATACAAGTGGTTCAAGCATGTATCTTTCTATCAATACAGTTGTATTCATTTGCAATCTACTGTTTTCTTTGTTCACTGAACAGTGTCAATATTTTATAGTGTTTTACTGTATTGTATTCTACAATGTTCTGGTTTATTGAGCTTAGTTACAATAAATTTCTTTGGTAACTTAAAGGTAATCTGGTATTAGCGTAAGGCCACAGCAAGAAAATTTTATGGATGACATCTGCGCGCGCATTAATTTTCGCCTGATTTTGAAAAAAAAACAAGAAATTTTGTTGCCTTCTAAGGCCACACTGACTTAATTTTATGGATGACATCCGCGCGCGCATTGATTTTCGCTTGTTCTCAAAAAAGAAAAAAAAAGATCACGTCCACCGAGGCTCTGGCCTGGCCCTAGGCCTGAGTAGTCCATAGTAGTTAGGGACAATACGGAGCCGGGCACCCAGGCTACCGGAGCTTAACGACTCAAGAACTCAGTATATACGTACAGTGCCGATTCATAATTTCCACAAAAAGCCAGCATGTGCCGGCTTGTCGTATACGTTGCTATGTACTGCCGCGAATTCACAATACCAGCCTTGTATTCCCATGGTTTAGTAGCATTTTTTTTTTGGCCGGAATTTTTTTTTATTCGCGCACTAGTTTTGGGGTCTTCAGAGGATGTCATCCATAAAATTAAGTCGGTGTGGCCTTACAGTGGTAAACGTGCCGAAATGGGCATACTGGAAGGTGGATGGCAGATAACTAGGAAGAGAGGAGACAAGAAAAGGCTTTGATTTAATGTTTTGTTTCTTACTCTGATGCAGTGATATGTGATGCTGGCTGTGTATATGTGATGTTCGTACTGAATCAAAACCATTTGTACAATGATTGAGTAAAAATTTTACATTGTAGGAACCTTGTTTTTTCGGCCCGCCTTGTTTTTTCGCCCGCTCGCATTAGATTTGGAGTCTGCGGAGGATGTCATCCATAAAATTTACTTGCTGTGGCCTAACATACTGTAGTATAGCTGTTCTTGCCCTGCTGGTACTAGTAATCAATTTGAACTTTTTTTCAGATCTGCTACACCTCACGATTCCTGGGACACAGTGCTGTGGTGGTGTCCAGCCTGACACCAGTGGTGGTCACCTGTCACCTCCGCACCGGGACTACAACCTGTAGGTTCTACAGACAAAACTACACAGAGGGTGGCCTAGCGATCAACACCTCACTGCAGGCCACCCTCAACTCTGCTGACGCAGTACTGCCTTAACCAGCGGGTCCTGTGTGGCTGCCGGATGGAGTCGTGTCCTGCACCGCTGCCTGACTGTGCCCAGAAGTTGGGGGATATTTCTCTCTGAAGATTCGTGTCTGATCTGCATGTTTCCTGTGCCGAAAAAGCTGCAGTTGGACTGAGTGGTTGCATTTCAATAACTGCAGGAGGAGTTTGGACATTTTACAAGTTGCATTGGCGCCAAGAGGCAAATGTTTAGAGTGGAGTATCTTCTGACTCACAAAAAGCCATCAGTTTTAATCAAATGAACACTTGATAAGTAAATAAATACATAAGTCTGAACTGTTGTGTAGTTTCAATTATGTTACACAAGTGGTAATTATGGCATCTTTTTTCTTTTCATGAAAAAAGACAAAAAAGCATTGTGTGCCTGCTGTCAATTTTATTGTTTGACATGTTTCAAATGGTACCTAGGCCATTATCTCCAAGCAGATCTTTTTGTGGCTGCAAATGCAATATTGAACTGGCCCAGGCTGTATCCATTTGCCAGACAGTTGCCATTTCCTCAATGAAATGTTAACGGCCAGGCAAATGCCCACAGCCTGGCACTATATTTGCAGCCACCAAATATCTGCTTGGAGATCACCAAATCCAAGAACCAATTTATTAAACTGATATGGCCCTAAAATACCACTGCATTAGCCTTGTTAGCTTTGGTCCACTCCCCAAATCCACTACCCAGCTATTTTTTGGCTGAGTAGTGGATCTCGGGGAGCGGACCAAAGCTTACAAGGCTGGACTCCAGGCTACCATCGCATACCTTGCATAGCCTCCAGTGGAGGCTTCCAAGCAGGTGGGAGTTTTTAATACTGTGCTAATAGTGTTGTTTGGCCAGAGAATGTTATACCGCCAGAAAAGGTTATGCCATGGAGGGGGTTCATAT